ATGTACCCATTACAATTTACAAGATTAAATATAATTTTACAAGCTATATAATTATTAAATCCAAATACATAAATTTACAGATTAAAACAATTATTAATAAAATTCAAGACATCATGCAATAAAATATGATAACAGATTAATTAAAAATAATAGTTTATTTTTATTAATTAATACAACACATTTAAGACAAACCGCCTAAATATAAATATGAATAAATTTTGACGTAAAAGATGAAATTCTATTTATATATCACTTTTTGAAGTAAAATATTAACATGTTAAGTAAGGCGATAAAGTTTATCATCGGAATCGCAAAAACCTTAATCCAATCCAGATAATGATATGTATTTGATAATCAATATTATAAAATAAATATATCCTAAGTATAAAAAACAATAGCTACAATAGAATTTTCTAATTAAGTAAGTAACTAGTTAAATACAAAATACTAACATCAGCTATCCCTAATATGTAATTATAAACAATATTTACATTCTAGTCTAGTCTAGATAATATAAAACAATAACATAAAATATTAAGTTATGATTTCCACAATTTTTAGCCTAACAAAGCTATAGTTAAATTTACTTAAAAATTACTATTAATTCATTCATAGGGCGTATGTAATTTACGCCAAAAACAACCCATAAAAAAAAATATGTCATTTGCGCCACATCTAAAAATTTATTTTGGTAATTTGCGCCACTATTTAAATTTGTAATTTGCGCAAAATAAAACTAAATAAAAAGGCATTATGTAATTTGTACCATTGAGTACCTACTAAAATTGTAATTTGCGCTATTCTTCATCTTATTAAAATTGTAATTAGCGCCACTAATATTAAAATTATATAAATAAATGTACATAAGTAAAACAAACTCCATATACATTAAATAAGTAAATTTTCGTTTAGTAATAAAATATATAAAAATTAAAAATAAAATCAAAATCAATATAAAAATTATATTAGACACGCGTCGGTACGTAGTATTGTATATCTTATGCGATATCAATAAATTTATCTGCTGGTAAATTCTAACTGCAATTAAAATAGAAAGAGTAGCGCAAATTACATATTCCATTTCTTTTACTGTCGTGGCACAAAATACCAAAATTAATTTGTTTATGTGGTGCAAAATACTGTTATATTTTTATATTTTGTCGCAAATTACATACGTACTCAAATGTACCTATTCGTGGCGCAAATTACAAATAATAAAATTGACGCAAAATACCATCTCCTCAATCATCGGGTGTTTTGTTTTTCTCTTTATGATTGTACAAAATGATAAGTTTTTCACGGAATAACTTATGTTTTTATCACGCCTTATTTACAGATCTATTTTATGTAATCGAATACAATTTCAGTTTGTGTTTGTACTTTATATTAAAACAGAAATCACAACTGTATAACTAGAAGATGACGCTTATCAAACTTCCCGTTGAAAGTGAAGTAAAAACTTTCTGCAAATTTATAAAGTGATTCAGTAAAAGTTTTCAAATATTTTTTAAGCTCACAAATACATAGTTTAAATACTTTCAAAAAAGTACTTGAACAGAGTATTTTAAAAACTCACTAAAAGTATCTATATTTAAAATCAAATACTAATGTTTAAATACTTTTTTTTTAGTTAATATACTTTGTATTTTTAATTAAATCATAAAAAAAAAAAAAAAATACGAGAAATAATTATACAATTTAAGTCGGACAATAAAATCTATATTTTATATAAAAAAAAATATATATAAACTAATATTATACAAATTCGCCAGGAGTTCTATTTGTATTTGTAAATTTAAATATAAAATTAATGTAAGCCATCAAAATGCTATAAAAAATCTGTTTCATTAATTTATAAGATTTCAAAATATATTAATTAAAAATATTGATAATATCTATAAAAATCTGGATACACCAAGACGATATTTTAAATTTATACTTAGTCATAAGTATAATGTGGAAGAAGTGATATCCTTCTTTCTCTCAAATTATAATTTATAATAAATTCAATGTAGTCACTAAATAGAAGTTCTTTCTTCAAGTCTTATATACTTGCAAAATTAGTGAAAATATATCAAGACATCACTATTCACGTTATAATAACATGTATTACTTATTTATTTTATTTATAGAATGGGCAGGTAGCCCAATAATTACACTACAATATCATTAACTTATATACAATTTTTAAATATTAATAGAAATGAAAAAATAAAAGATAAACAAGTAGGTACCGTTTATTGTTATATTAGGTGTCGAGTGAAATATCGATAAAAATTCCATTATTCCACCAAGCCACAGAAATACTCAATGTGAGGGTTTTTAAAATGTAAATGCAAAAGTACTATGTTATATTAAATGAAATTCATGATACAATTATTAAGTTAGTGGATCCAATATAAATTTACAAAAGAAGATAATATATTTGTTTGAAGAGCATAGATAATATACCAAAGTTTCCCAACTTTTTTGTAATGGCGGCCCATAAATTTGCTGCTTGTTGGTTAGTAACCCACCCCAACAAACACTAAAAAAGAATAGAAAAAGATAGTATAGTATTATTAATAATTTTTAGTGTAAGCAATTTTATTATTGAATTTTAATATAATATATGTATAGAGTACTGAATGATAAATATAATAATACATAATTTACATAATTCTGTCTAATATGTACAAAGATTATATGATTATTTTTTAATTAAAATTGTATACTTGATATAAAAATAAAATATAAAAAAATTCAAAAAAATTAGTACAATATGGTAATAATAAAATAATTATATAGTTGCTTGTTTTACACTTAGTGTGACTTCTGATTCCAATGTTTCATAATATTTCCCACTGGGGTACAATTTCAGATAAGCTGATGTGCATGTCGTGTGTGACATCTTATAATATTTCTTTGTTTTGTTTTAATATTGGCCATGGATTACACATTAATATTATATGTAGAGGTATCAAACAAAACATAACTTAGGCATTTATAAATGTACTGTTAAAACTATTTTAAAATATATTTTAATTGTAGGTCGCGATGACTGGCACCCCTTAAAAAATATTTTGCGACTTAAAATTGGGAAACACTGCGCTATGTTATTTAAATTCAAATAATAAATATTTCTTGAACATATATCAAAAAAAATTTCAAACTTGTCAAAATTATTTTTAAATGCATTTTATACTGGTTCTAAAATTATTTTCTAGTGATTTTAAAATATTTTTACAAAAGAATAACAGTTAATGATATAGTTAATTATGAAGTCTTATGTAAAATTTAGATTAATAGTTAATGATACTAAATGCTACATAGCATATAAAATTTGCCTTCATATTTAACAGCAATGATTAAAACACTTTTGCAACAATGCACCAAGAAGGTTTACAATAATTTTTCTTAATCATTAGTCCTTGTAAATTTGATTTTGTACAAGGTCAAATACTTTAGAACATAATCAAATCTGACAAATGGTTCAACTAACTCCTCAATACTCGATATATTTAAACAGAATTAAGCTGCAAGTACAGATTCATTTTGTAAACAAAACATATTACAACATTGAATTCTTCTTTATTTTTATTTTTTTGAACACAACTAAAATTTTAACAAAATTATATGAAGGTATATGTTAATAATTCATACATATCAAAATATAAAATCATTGCAATATATTAAAAAAATTTTTGAAAAATATTGAAATACAAATGTAAAAGTATTCAAGATCCTCAAAAATAATTTTAAATTATCATATCAGATTTAATCATAGAATTATTTTATAACATAAAAAGATAATTATTTAGTATTTCTAGATAAAAATGCAAAAAAAAAATTATCAAAAACATAAAGAAGATTTAATTACAATAGGTTATACTATACTATTACTTGTTGTAAACATAAATTTGATTGATTCAATATAAATAAATAAGATATCACAACTATTTAGTTGTCAAATAATTGACAATTCACAACTGTATAAACATTTATTAAAATCTGAAATACACATGGTAGAATTAAACAACCTATAAGAGGCCTAATTATTAATTGATAAATTGATATTTGCCTAACTTTTCAAAAAAAACCAAACAAAACATTTTTAATTAAAAATTATAATTCAAATGATATTTATTAAAACATTGTTTTCATAAATCAAATACATTACTTTTCTACCTAGTATCAGGTAGTATGTATTAAAAAAGATACCTCACAATGAGTTTTGTTATGAGATGGGACAATATAACACAATATCTAATATTAGTAGTTGAAATCAATAAGCTCAACAAAAAACATTTATTTTAAACAAAAAAAAAATTAAAACAAAACTTTTATCACAAATTTGTTTCTAATAAAAATAATGAATAATATTAAAACTTACTAATTATTACATATTTTATATTGTTATCATATATTTAATTTTAATATCCTTATTACACAATTAAAATTTTTATTAACATACAATTTTTCTCTAAGATGTTTACTAAGAATATTAATAAGAGTAGTACATTAGAAAAGACGACAATTTTTTATTGGTCCCTCCAATGTGTTGGTTTTATAAGTCTTTTAAAATATTTAACATCTGTTAAAATTATCACTTAAACTATCCTGACATACTTTCAACAAGCTCATTAAAATAAATAGAAACAATTTTTAACTTTTAAAAAGATATTTGATTCACAATATAAATAAAAATTCAAATTTATATAATTTTAACATTATAATGTATACAATAATATACTATGATTCAACAAACATTATTAAATAATATAATATTGAAGAGACTTATATAAACTACATATCTTTATTTGCAATCTTTTTTATTGAGAAATTAATAAATATTTAATCAAAGTAAATATTTCAACTAATACTTTTATGTGACATTGGTTTTAACATTATTATATAAATTTAACATATTTAACATTATTGAAAAAAATTAAAAGATGATATATATTTTTAATAAGTGGATAGCTAAATGAATTTAATAAATATATATTTAACTAAGTATTGAATTTTTAGATGTTATTAAATGCCACTAGTGAATTTTCATAAAAGCAATTATTACACTATTTAGAATTTAAGTATTCCTTTTACAAAAAATGGAATTCAGTTTTTATCAAAAGTAGTTAAAATTAATATAATAAAATAATTTGACCATATACCTTGTTAGATTGGTCTTTATTAAATACAATCGGTCATATATAAAAATCTGAGTTTATATACCATAAAATATATTCAATTATTTGAATTAAACTGCATTATGAATGGCATTTGTCCTGTCTAAACATTGATCTGAAAAAAATAAAAAGACTGGTATTATAATTAACAAAGATTTAAAAATATTTACAGATGAGTACAATAAATTTTAAAAAGTAAAACTACATAAATAACAAAATATGTTCATTATTTTGTATCATATATTCTTCAAAAATAGAGTTGCTATATTTGATATTTCAATATTGATAAAAACAATTTTAAATATTAAACAATAGGTTTTGTTTTAAAAAAATAGAAAATGGTGTGTAAAAGAAAGATTCAAAAATTTGAAATTCTACAGAGTCATTTTTATTTAACAATAATTCCATAGAATAAAAAATGAGTTTTTTTAAATATTATTTTTTATAACAAAATTGCTATTTAACAATTTTTTTCAAAAAGCCATCAAATTTGATTGGAAATTCTACAATACTACAAAACAATATTAGTAAAAATTAAAAACTAATATTCCTTAACATATTTTTAATTTATAATAAGTATTAAAATTATAAAAGTATATCATGCTTTAGACTTCTTATAAAAACAGTGACAAATAAAAATAAAATCAACTAGGTATAAATTATGGTTGTAAATTATGGATTTTTTTTTTTTTTTGGATACTAATTTCACTAATAATATATTTTATATTTTAAATATAAATGTATATATATATATAGATATGGATTAACTAACCTCGTCTAAGTTGATTGAAATAAGAAAGCAATCGCACTAGTAATGACGGAGACACGGTAACTGTATCTTTTGATTGTTCCATCATTAATTTATTCCTTTCAACTAACTGAAATTAAAATTAAATACTTTAAATAATATGTATTTAAATCAACTTTACAATTTAAGTTAGATGCCATAGTAAGAACTATGGTTTTAGAATTTAATAAAGCATCTAAAATATTAACTTAGTTCAACTCTAAATAGTATCTTGTCCAAATAACAGTCAATTTTTGTTGTTCGTGTTTAAGTTAATCGTGATCGACCAGTCAATCACAAACAATTTCAAAGTCGATCGTGTTAGAATTTATTTTTAGACTACGCACACAAAAATTAGTTATGGTGGTATAGTAACTTAATAAAACTTTTTTATTGAAGTTAATCCTTAAAGGTGAAGTATATTTTTAGTAGATTGTGACCAAAAAAAGTTTGGCTTTTCCTGTTATACAGTATACAGAAATAATATTTGAACGTCGTTGATAAAAATATTAATTGATTATGACTGTTTGTGATAGCAAGAACTTCTGAGAAAAAATTAAATCAATGCTATAAGCAGAATTTTGGTGTAGTTCAAAAAATGAATATCCTCAATAATTATTATACAAGGCCGTGTTAGCAGTTTTAACATTTGCAACCACTTAAAAAGAAGTAACCTAATATAGGTATTAACAAAAACAAAATACTGCAACAGACTCGATGCTAAACCTAATATGATAATGCAACTTTCATCAATAAAGCCCAATATTAAGAGTATTTTTAATAACAAAAAGTAATTTCACTAATCCCATTAAAATTAAAATTTAGTCTAATTTAGATAATTTAAATACCTATCATTATATACAATTATTATTATTTTTATTTTTATTTTAACATATTTTTAGAATTAAATACCTTTAACACATAATTATCATATGAAAAAATTATAGTTTTTATAGCAAATAATTCTAAAAAAAAAAAAGTAGGGTTCCACGATAAAAATGGACATTAAAGAAGGTTCCACATATAAAAAAGTTTAAGGACGTTGTATTACCTTAATAGATTAATTAATATTATTTCATATAGTAACGGATGATCCATAATTTGTTTTAGTTATTTTTATATTATATGTGTACAGTACTCATATAATAAATTGGGAAAAATAAATAAATAATAAAAATATTTTATTAATTTTTTATTACATGAGAATTTTTAGTTTAATTTTACTTTTTTTCTCCAGAATTTTTAATTATAGTATGAAGAACTTAAAACCACAAATTGTGGACATATGTCACTACTCTTAGGTAAAAAAATACATTCTAGTCTTAATATATTAAACTCTAAAAGTTTAGACTTTGTTAGTCACAACCCAGCAAACTAATATTATAATAAAAACCTAGTAATTAAAAATTAATTAATTAACTAGAAATTTTAAATTAATATTTTAATCATACCTCATTTGCAAATGATTGATTAAACATTTTATCAATAGATATTGGACTCCAAAGCTTAACATTATGATCAACACCAGAAGTTGCTAGTAAAGGCCTACTTGGGTGTGGTTTAATACAATTAACCACATGTGAATCTGCCATTAGCAACATCACTATTTCACATGTATAACGATCCCATATAAACACATGTCCGCAATCACTACCTGACATAATAAAATCATTGCCCCAGAATGTTGCTTCTTTGATTAAAGTTCTGGAAAAAATTAAAAAATACATTATTTTTCTTTATCAGCTACCATTAAAATGTTGTGGATTAAATTTAAACTGTAATACTTTACTTTACCTAGCATTTCTATGACCTTTATACTGTGCTTTTATTGATTGAAGTGCAATAAAATCATCAAATACTGGATGTTTTTTATTAGTTTTTAAATTATTTTCAACTCTTTGGTTATTGCTATTTGAAGTAGACTGTACAATATTATATACACGTGATCTAGTACTATAATTATAAACAAACATTATTGTTAAATAAAATGTTTAATAAAAAAAAGAATATACAGTAGAACCTCGATTATCCAGGGTAATGATGGGGAGAAGGTCACACGGATAAATGAAAATCATGGTTAATCGAGACTTTTTATAATAATGAAATTTTTTATTTAATTATAATTGGAAATACCTAGGTACAATTTTATAATAATGAAATTTTAAAAATTTTGATTCAATTGTAATTAGAAATATACATAAGAAGACGTATACATACAATAATGTTATACATACATCCATAATATTGTATTCCTACAACAAGTTGTTAGGGCTTAAAATATGAAGTTATCATAAAAAATGTCATTAATACGATTGTCGATATCGAGTATTATGTTTAAAAATATTTGGAAGAATGGGCATAGTTAATCGCAAACACAGATAATCGAGGTTCTACTGTACTATTAAAGCCAAAATATATTATTAAGAAATTATGAAACTTGGTACTTTTTTTTTATATACAGTATGTTCACACTAAGAGGTATCACTAAATATTTCAGTTCGATGACTTTGTATTGAAATGGGGGGTTTTCACTGAATGATAGATAGTACTCAACTATAAATTCTCAGACAAATTTCAAATTTTTAATAATTTCGATACGTGTATGCGCGATACAACTTACTTTTTTTAAATGGTAACACCAAATTTTTTTGCATATTCAGATAGAGTATTTTTTTCTAAACAATTTATGTTTAAAAAATTTTTTTTCTGATTACAAAATTAGCATATGAAACTTGACGATAAAATTTAATATTTATGAGTAATTTGTTTTTGATAAAATTTAAATTAAATTCAACTTATTGTTACTTATTAATATCCAATATTGTTAAATACCTGTTTGCACACAGATAAGATAATAAAAATAACTTTGACAAAATTTGCCAGAAGTTAAGATAGTAAATCCTGTTCGTTATACATTTATTTTATAAATAAATGTTGATAAATTATTTTTGCTGACTAGTAATAATTATTTTCATAATTTCAAACTAGTCTTGTGACAATTACTATTCATGTAACATAATATTTTATTCTGGTTAAATATCACATCTTTTTCTGAAAAAATTGTTATTGCTTTAATGCACTATTTTACATAAAATAAATTTATTAAAATAAATAACAGTGATAAAGTCAAAACTTATTCTAATTATTGGCGAATGTAATCATAGTTCTCAACAAGTAGCTCAGGTGTACGCAGATCGGTATCCAGATAGGTTTCATTCACTTCATAATTATGTCCATAGAATTTTACATAGATTAAATGAAAACGGTCAATTTCCTAACAATCGAAATAGACAATGGCAGCCTAGACCAAATAATTTTGATGAAGACACTAAATTGCAGGTAATGGCCTACATACGTGCTTATCCACGTTCATCAATAAGACATGTATCTCGACAAATTGGTATATCAGTTGGTGTAATACATAAAATTTTGAAAAAAAACAAAATGCATCCAAATAAATCTGAGTCTATCCAAAATTTACGAATCAGAGATTTTGAACGTAGATTACAATTTTTGTCATGGTTTAGTGTTCAATTTTAAATCGATAATTTATTTTATAATAGTATTTTGTGGACTGATGAATCTAAATTCACAAACAATAGTATAATGAACAAACAAAACAATAGATTTTAGGATGATACAAATCCACACTGATCCTGAGAAACTAACTTTCAGACAGTTTGGTGTATAAATGTATGGTGTGGATTAATTGGTGGAGTCCTTATTTTTACGACGGAACACTTATAGGTAGAAGATATCTAGATTTTCTTGTTAATCAATTACCGTTACTGTTAGAAAATGTTCCATTAGCCACGCGAGAAAATATATATTTTCAACAAGACGGTGCACCAACACACAATGCCATCATTGTTAAACAATATTTAAATGATATTTTTCCTAACCGATGGATTGGTACCCATGGAGTAATTCCATGGCTAGCAAGATCTCCAGACTTAATCCCAGTGGATTTTTTTTTATGGGGACATTTAAAAAATGTAGTATATGTGGACCCACCTATTAATCTCCAAGATTTAAAAAACAAAATACGACTGGCTTGTAATAATTTGAAAGAAAAACAAATAAACGCTGCCACATTAAAGGAATTTTTAATACATTTGGAATCATGTTTGGAACATTAAGATGGAAACTTCGAACAATTCATTAGATAAAACTGTAAAACTTAATTGCAAATTATTAAATCTTTATTTCAAATTTATAGTGTGTACCTACAATTTTATAGTTTTCATTATTTTCAATTAGTTATCTTATTTCAGAAGAATGAATGAAAATAATGAAAGTAAATTATGATAAAAAAGTATTTATTTATATCTTATCTGTGTACAAACAGGTATTTAACAATATTGGATATTAATAAGTAACAATAAGTTGAATTTAATTTAAATTTTATCAAAAACAAATTACTCATAAATATTAAATTTTATCGTCAAGTTTCATATGCTAATTTTGTAATCAGAAAAAAAATTTTTTAAACATAAATTGTTTAGAAAAAAATACTCTATCCGAATATGCAAAAAAATTTGGTGTTACCATTTAAAAAAAAGTAAGTTGTATCACGCATACACGTATCGAAATTGTTAAAAATTTGAAATTTGTCTGAGAATTTATAGTTGAGTACTATCTATCATTCAGTGAAAACCCCATTTCAATACAAGGTCATCAAATTGAAATATTTAGTGTTACCTCTTAACGTGAACATACTGTATATATTTAACCACTTCTTAATATTTTTCACTAAAAACAACTTTAAATTGAAATCCATCTTTGTTAAATTATGTACCATTATTTTTTTAAATATTTTAATAGATGCAACATATATAAATACATTTTAAAATAGAATAGAAAAAATTAAAACTTACTTAGAATTAACTATATTATCAATATCAATAGGAACATCAAATTCATTTAATTCACCTTGTGGTTCAACTGTACTTATAGTACGTCTCAATGATGCTGAAACTGGTGGAGAATAGTTTGGTCTCCCTAAAATATTATTTACATATTATACTTCATTGTATACATCAATATAAACTATAGAAGTTATATATAATATATTAACTTACAATTTTGCATAACAACAGAATTTAATGATGGTGTATTAAGTACATGAATTAACATGTCAGTCATTCGAGTCATAACTTCAGACTGAATTCTTGATCTTGTAAGATTATCTAAACAAGAACAAAAAAATAAAACATTTGATTCAAAAGTATTAAAATACATAAGGTATAGCCTAAACTTAAAAATTAATATAAGATCAAGGTGAAAAGTTATTATTCATCAACAAACAGCATAGACAATTATATTAAAACTACAAAAAAGTATCTATATAAATGAAATTATATTTAAAACTTCTAGTAATAATATAGTATAGTATAAATCTTTCTACAGTAGCTTAGTGTGGTGTGATGTGGTGTGGTGATTGGCATAGGTGTAACTAGACCTTAAAGTTAGGGGGAGGGGGCTTCAGCACTAGAATTTTTATTATAAGTAAATTAAGTGGGAGGCTCTGCCCCCCATACCTCTCAAACACCTTACATTCATTGATTATACACATAATATGAATGTAAATTAATATTTAATTATAAAACAAATAATAAACCAAGTGGTATTGAGGTTAAATATTTATATATTAACATATTATTAAGTATTATTCTAGATATAAAGAGTTTAATGATTTTTAGTTTATTGATAACTTCTTAGTAGGGAATATTTGTGTAGTAAAAATTACACAACATGATACGTCTTACACAGGATCATTACATACAATAATATAGTTTAAATTAATATTTTTATATTAAATAAAACAATATTTTAAATTTAAGTTTAAAAATGTTACTATTATTGGCGGGAATGTGGGACTAGGAATTATGACAGGGGGGGCTAAAATTTATGTTGGGAGGACTAAGCCCCCCAAATCCCCCTAGTTACGCCTATGGTGGTTGGCCTCTCTAATGTGCTCTGAGGACAAGCATCAGTCAGTGTCGCTAGCTCTTGGATGGGTAACCACCCGGGTTCTTATTGACGAATCTATGAAACACACATATACACCCACATGTTCCAACTCTACTAGTCAAACCTTACAAACTTTACACAAAATACCTAATGTTCCTATGCATAGCTAATAGACCTTAGTTGTTGGGCTTAAATAAGATCAATAAAATTTTTATTTTTTTTTTTTTATACCTATATTCCTTTAATCTAATTGAACTATTTTATTTTTCTTTCAAATTAATTCAGTTAATACTTATAAAGTATATTATTTCATAACTTCATACCAGTAGATGGTCGAGATAAAGGTCCAGTATCACCCCAGTCACCTCTTAATCTCATTCGCCTGTATGGTGGTGGAATTGGTGCATTTTCTAAAAAATCATTTGCAACTGCTGTCGTACAAGAATCTTTATTCAAACTAAACAGATATATTTCTTCATAGGAGTAACTGGCAAGCATGTCTCCGCCATCAGGTGAATATGACAGAGATGTTATACGATAAGCACGATGATTTAGATGAGGAACAGTAAAGGAAAATTCAGGAACAATTTTTTGAAGTAATCCTGAAAACAAATTTAAAATAAAATTAAACTTAATTGTGCCAACAATTTAGATAAAGAAAACAAAGGAGTTTAACTATAGACAGTTTGCCTACATACCTATTCACAGTCTAAGGTTATTACCAAAACAAATAATTTCCTTATAAATTAATATATTTTTGGTAGAGAAAATTATAATGTTTAATAAGAAGTAATATTAAAAAGTTTACATAATATAATACACCATATTAAAGCTGATGTAATAAATAAATAAATCAAAGTTCTTGAAGGATATAAAAGTATAAATTAATGATAAGTTATAAATGTTTAACATATCACTTACCTTTTTTTATAATTTTTCTTCTGTCAACTATCCTAACCATACTGTCTATTGTTGCAATAGCAAGTTGATAAGGTTTAACTGGGTTTATTGCAATAGTGGAAACAGGTTTACCGCAATCAATCAATTCATGCTATTTGAATAAAAAAAATATTAGTATAATAATATATATATTTAAATAAAAATAATTTTAATTACGTCATTGCAACGTTGTTTAGTACATTTAACACCAGTTCTGAGATCATATTGACGAACTGTACCATCTTCACTACAACTTAGAAATATATTAGGTTCATCAGGTATTGTTTCTAGTTTATAACATTGGCTACAATGGCAAGTAAAAAAATTCCATTCTGTTTCTTCTAGTCTTTCTAAATCTAAAACATAAAAATACAAATATAATTAAAATTATTTAAATTAATAAATAGCAAACATGCATGAATATTTACCAAGATTAAGAACAGAACCATCTGCGGCACATGAAATGATACGGTTATCAAAAGTAGGTAAGAATTTTGCACAGAAAATATTAGTTTTATGTTGTGTTTTGTAATCAACAAGAATATTATATGAAAACGGATTAGTAATCACTAGATGTTTATCGTCTCCAGCCGTAAGTAATAACGATCCAGAATCATTCCAATTCACAGAATTTATACATCCGTGATGATTTTCCAAAATTTTTTCCAAGCCAAGTCGTTGTACAAAATGCTTACTATCTATAAAAAAAATTAGGGTATTTAAGAATAATAAACTATAAGTCAACGGTTCTTAACTTGTGCTCCTCGGCCTCTTGAGGGTCTGTGATACACATGTTGGGAGTCTGCGACAGCCTTAACACATAATATGTGTCAATACGTTAAGTATTATAAAAAAAAATTAGCAAGAGGGTCTATGATTTCTAAAAATCTTTGATCAGTGGTACATGATCGGTACAAACGGTTAGGAACTACTGCTATAAACTATTTACTGACTACCTCAATTTAAAATTAATGTTACTTTTAAATAATATAGTAATTTAATTGTTGTTCTACAGTTTTACCAATATAATACTATTGATTTTAAATAAATTATAATTAATGTTAATATACATGCAATAGGATACCATTAACTACTAATTCTAACAACTGTCAGGAAATATGTTTAGCAATAACAACTAATCCTTAGAATGGTTAATGCAAGTCGCAAAAATAGAAATCAGATTAGATTATATGTATAAAAACAATAAAATTCAGAAGAACAGCCAAATCATCAGAACCTCAAGTCTAAGAGAAAAGGTATAAAAACACCACATACAAGGAACTCCTCAATATGATACATTCAGATGTACCAAAGCCATTGAGTCCACACTCCACAGCACTTTATACAATTTCTTATTATACTTAAGGTTTAATTAAATAAATGAATTATTTTTGATGACAAATAAACTTAACAATCATTTCAAATCCACTACTTAAAGAGATAAAAAGTAAGCATGCTGCATAATGTATGTACTAATTTTTTTTTTTATTATTTATTTATTTAACAAAGTAGATCACGAGGCTAATAGAGTTTTAATCAACAGGGAGGCTTGCCAGGGAGCGATTTAGAGGAGAGGTTTGAAATTAGGGGGTTTGAATGATTATTAGTATTAGAATGAAATTGTTTATAGTATGCAGAAGTGAAGATGTGAAGAGTTAGATAATAATAATTCATTATACATTTTTTAACTAACTTTATAGATGCTATATACTGTATGCAGCAAATTTACAGCTAACTGTGATACAATTATAGTAATATACCTATCAACGCACACAATACATGCCAAGTAAACTATTGAAAATATGACCATGGAGTTATAAAATTTCATACATGGACACATCCCCACAGTTCACTGGGTCATAGGGTGGGTGAGTACAACTTACTCTTAGAAGAATTCCTCACTCTCGCTGAACCCTGGTCATTGTAAGGCTGGAAGAAGACGTTCCGAAACAATCCCTTAGACGGGAACATAGTCACGTTTTCACGTCGAACAGTAGCTCTTTGAATAATAGTTCACGTCGTAGAAGTCAACCGTTCTTGTAGCGACCGTTAATTGCGGTGTTTGGGACAACAGACGAAGGCCGGTGGCCCGGTGCCAACGTCGAACGAATATTCTGCATGAACTAGTCGCGCTGACGTCGGCCGCCTTAAATAACTCTCGTACGACCAAATAATAGATTATATTTATATACGTCATATTATCAGCGAGGGGGGAAATAGTAACAATAAAACTGTTTTTATTTTTGCCATTTCTTTTCAACGCATAATTGTCGCTTAACCAAAATAATTATATCCCGATGTACAAATATTTAACAACTATCCACCACAGAACACTGACTAGTGAGTAGTGACTAACTGAATACGTCTTAGCTTCATAATTATAAATATTATGATTTGTTTAGGAAGTAGGAACGAAACACGAAAGATCAGCCGGGAAAACAAAATAACATACAAAAATGAATAAGGAGATAGGTAACCATAACCATTAACCAATCATTTGAACCGCCAAAATAAAAATATTATTATTATTATTATTACTTAGGAATATGGTAAAATAATAATCATTGTATATTATATACTATGATCGTGGTCAAACTAAGTAACCGGAGTACCGGACCATAAAAATATAGATTAACCGGACGTGGAGGTGGTTCCTGTGTAGTGCGTTTGCGCCCGTTTGTTGCGTTTTCCGTCCGATCAGCTGTGGTGGTTGACGCTACCACTGTCATTGTTGCATCGCGAACACTGTGGACAGTGCGGACGCGGATCAAGGTCAACCGACAAAAGCGAACGGTCTCCACTATCGTAGTTGTCCCGTTGCCACCGCCACCGACGTTTCTCGCGTTCTACACACGTCCATCGGTTCGTCGACTCGACCGCCGTCAGTGTCAGTCGTCGACCGTCGTAGTGTTGTACTATCACACGTCAGTTTGGTTTTCGATTCTGTTGAGCGGCATCCGTCGTCGCCAACGTCGCGTTATCCATTCGATCACCGCGCATTACCGAGAGTATTTCCGCAAATCACTTAAATCTTTAAGCGGTAGACTCTGTGAGTATTTTCGCGCGTGTCCTGTGTGTTTCATTGCGAATAAGTCTATTGCGTGTTTGCTGTGACTTAGCGACTGTAAGGTACATAATATCTTTGGTGTCACATCCTGTTGGGTTTCTCGTCGGGGAATCCCGCCACTTCTGTCGATCGCCGTTGTTCAGGTCAGTGCGTGACCCCTTGTTGTAACATATTTCGTGGTTCGCCAACACTAGTAAACACGGCTCTCCGAACGCGCGCCTCGCGGCTGCTGATGACATGCCATCGTGTTAGATCCGACGACAGTGGATGTAACATGAACGACATTGAAACGATCGCAGCCTCGGTGTTCTACTCCGCCAGGGACGGACGGCTGAAACGATTGCAGGTGAGCGAAGTTGGCGCGTGGTTACTAGTTACCTCTAATACGGGGTTACGGTCATTGAAGGGGTTGGTGATAACTTTTGGTGCTGTGTGTTAGGATTAGCTATGATATGTTAATATAATGAATACAGTGGACAAAGGCTGTTGTCACTGTTTGCAAACTAATAGAATTATTTTGGTACACTTCGTTTCTTGAGTCACTGCACTTAGCCGATAGTATCAATTGTCAAAGGATACAGTACACTTAACTTCTTCATGTTGTACTTTCTATGATTATTTCTATCTTTGCACTTTTTACTTGGATCATTTTTCTTTTCCCTTATCATCTTATCCTTGATACAAATTTTAGTAAAAATATCTATACATCTAAATTAATCAAATGTACATTTTTCTCACATTTTGTACTTGATCGTATAATTATTTAATTTTATTAAAATATAGATATCTATCAGATTAAAAAGTTTTTTTTAAGTGAATTAGTTTACATTTGACTTAGATATTTTAATTTGTCTTTGGCTTCAACATTTAAATGTCATTCTTTAATTACATAAGACCACTATTTTTGTCATAGGTTATCTACAAACTACATTCCTTAATTTAACAGTTATACAAAATGTTTGATATATTTATTTCACTTATTTTAATTATATACCTACCATAAGTTTAAAATAAATTATCTTATGGACTTTTTACTAGTACTTAATTAAACAGGAATATCAACATAAATTTCATAGTTATTAAAATTGTTAATTAATGAAGTAGGTAGCTCATTACCTTCATAATGTGCTCATTTATCATGGCATTTGCCTAATAAGTTTAAAATATTAGTTATTTTCATTATAAAAAAAAATGTTTAATAATTCTGTAAGGCGAAGCGGATTCTCACTTTTATATTATATTTATTTTAAAATGTTCTTAATCAATTGATTAAATAGAATAGAATTCATTACTTAAAACTAATTGTTATTACCTGTACCTAATTATTCATACATTTCATAGCTTAATTTTTAAATAAGGTGTGTAGTTATACTAAATATTTCACCTTGTTGCATATGTCTCTAATTTTATTTACTTAACATATTTTACTATCAATCCTTTATTTATATTAATATTTGAAGTTAACTTTTACATCTATTTAAGTATAATTATATCGTAGATAATATCCCTGATAATACTATATCCTCTTAAGTTTCTTTTTACATTACACTGTGTACACACAATTATTTTATAAGTAGGCTAATAAAAATAAATACGTTTATGTTTATTTCCAGATTTATTTAAATAGATACCTTTTGTTGTGCTTGACACTTTCATATGTTTGTATTACCTTTATACCTCACTTCATACTGCATGCATGTATATTGTATACAGTAAACTATGTATAATAAAATATAAGTCATATTTGAATTTTATTAATAATAACATTGTTATGAATTATGATAATACTTACTGTTATAATATAAAGTGAAAACACATTTTATTTTCTTAATAATCTAGTTATTAGGTATTCAAATGGGTTAACCTAATATTTTAAATGAAATTTGGTTTTCTAGATTATAACTATAGGTATAAAACTTAAATATTAAATTTTTACTTCGACTAGCCCATTGACAGTTTAATCTTGATAAAATATTATTTTAATTTCCCACCATTGTTGTATTATTATTTGTTTATACTACTTTAGAGCTTTGATTGGGGCTCTTTTAGTAGAGCATTTAGAAATTTGATAAAATTAAATTAATTAATTTTGTATCGACATCGACAATGCTGATAAAATAAAAGTTGAAATCATTTCATGATTTATTTAGGTACTTTCATGTAAGTACTAAGTATATGATACAGATTATAGATACATATATTTAAGATATTATGTTAAATTATTGATTAAGAGACCCGACAAAAACAATTTTTTCGAACGTTGTCTTACATTTTTTTTTCTCAACTTAGAACCTACATGACAACATGTATTTATGCGATATGTATATAAAATAACGATATTAAAAATAATATAATAACACCCTCCCAAAAAACGTTTTGGAAAAAAACAAATTTTATAACACATATTCAAACACGTTTACCAAAACATTCTTATAGCAATGCATCATTTAATATTATGTAGTTTAAGTTTTTTTGTAGTTTTGGTAAAATATGCAAACACCTCAACCTGGGAGGATTCAGGGGGGATATTGGTGGCAAGTGCCACCCCTGTTGGAAAAAAAAAATAAAAATTTTAGTATCGAAATTTTTTTTTGTGGGGGATATATCTATATTATAAAATTTTCCTATAAAGTGCCCCAACCGTAAATACATGCTGGATCCGCCCTTGCACCTCAATTAATTAAACAATCAAAACGGTCGGATCACTTGAAACGATTTTTATTAATTTTAAAATAACATTGTCTAATAACATAATTACGCCGCGAAAAAAAATACAAAAAACGTGCTCCCATGTTTTTTTGTTTTTCTCGTACTCAATAAGAAATATATATATATTTAAACTTATTTCGTGTGGTACACGGTAACGGTGATTATCATCATTCATCATCATTTTACAAATATGAAAAATTGTTAACAATATTATTATTATTATTATCGTAATTACGTATGCACACGCGACCGAATAATAATATTAATAAAATTATTGCGCGTCGACATAAAAGAAAAAATACGCAAACCAAACACATTGATCGTACATTTTATTGCGCACCGCCAAAATAATATAAATCGGACGTTCTTCTCATGGTCACCACGTGACTGAGACGACAGCCGTAGATTGTATTTTTAACATTATTCGAAACCAAAAAATAAAACTACAGCTATCGTCGTAGACCGTAGTCCAGTTTTACAAACAATAATAAAGTTATTTAAAAAAAAAAATAATAAAAACACCAATACGTAACAATAGTGACTCTACAAACAGCCAAGTGTTGACCACGCGTGCATTTACGCAATTACATCGTAAACAAAACCTCTGTTGTCGACTTTCTGGCTCCTCGCTGTTTGGCTCTCGGTTTGCGTTAGGCAAATTAATACGACATAGCGTTGTAGCATATTTTATTGTAACGATATAGTAATACTATAACATCGGCCGATAACCCAATGACGATGACCCATTAAATTGAAGTGATTTTTCTTTTAAGACTTGCTCGTTTTCTCCGTTGGTTTTCCATAGATATAATTTTTAACGATTTGTAACACTACTCTTGGCGCACGGTAGAAGTCTTATTATTATTATCACCGTGTCCGGAGCCGATTTGATATTTCTCACAACAGTCAATGTATATATGGTGTATAAAATAACCAAATTAAAAGCGTGTATCGAACCAGTTCAATTTCGTATTTACGTTAATAGTCGTTTATCAACGTTGTTTAATTGCGTTGTTTAACAGCTGCTGCCGGTTATCGTATTTAACAGTTCCACGCGTCACTACTTTTCTTATCTAAATACTCGAATGAAATAATCGTTGAACACATTATTCAGGTTCAATATCCTATAACGGCTACGACTTTAATATTTTATTCTGTTCTGCGAATATAGGTTTATGTTTTTGGACTAGTATCTACGTCATGGGCAGTTGTATTTTTGTTATTATTTACATTCGTTTGATATTTCTAAATAGTATTTTTTATCCTTTGTTTTACTTTTTATATGTAGTTATTATGGTGTTAAATTAAACAAAGATCTATACATTTTTAAAAAAAATTTAAATTTAAATCCGGGTGTTCTTAGCCACAGAATATCTAAATGAAAGACATCAAAGCATTAATAACATTGAAAAAATATAACAATCCCTATTCGAAAAAATAAAATAGTAAATTACCATTGACCATTGGTTACACCAATGTACATAGCCACCGAGTTGGATGAGATTATAAAAATAATATAATTTATAGTTATTATATATCTAATATAGTTTATCATTCTTAATTCTTATCTTTGACTAAGCGTACATAATTTCTTGGAGTACCTACTGGGACGTCAGGACGACAAGTACAAAATTATTATTATTATTTATTATTTCTCTGAATATTCTGATGTAAACACGGCAGCAATAAGCGAACCGTTGTCCGTCGTTCAGTTCTTCTTTCCGCCACGAGTTTAGTTGCGGTTGCCAATCGGCGACGGCGGC